ATTAATTCTTTCCTTTGTAGTGGAATTGATATTTATTTGGTTGTTGTTTTTGTTACGGTCAGTTGTATCTTTTGAATATGAAAAATATTTACAGGGTACAAAAATTAAAACTGTCTCCTCCAGTCTGTTCCCATCCACACACCCCACCCATGTTATCGGATTTCTCATTTATCCTTTCTGTGTGTGTGCATGTTTGCAAAAATATTCTTGTTTCTCCTGCTTCCTCACCTCAAAGGTGGCATACTATCTAGTCTTCTATGTCTTGCTTTTTTCACTTAATAACATACCCTATAAATCATATCAGTTCATAGGGCTCCTTCCTTCCTTCTTTCTTTTTTGGCTGCTTAGCACTCTATTGTGTGGCTATAGACTGTACCATTATTCATTCAACCAGTCTCTTAAGAATGGACATTCGGTGGCCGGGCACAGTGGCTCGTGCCTGTAATCCCAGCACCAGACTGGGAGGTCAAGGCAGGTGGATCACTTGAGTTCATAAGTTTGAGACTAGCCTGAGCAAGACTGAGACCTCATCTCTAAAAATAGCTGGGTGCATCTGTAGTCCCAGCTGCTCAGGAGGCTGAGGCAAGATCGCTTAAGCCCAAGAGTTTGGGGTTGCTGTGAGCTGTGATGCCACAGCACCCTACCGGGGGCGAGAGTAAAATTCTGTTTCAAAAAAGAAAAAGGGTATTTGGATAGTTTCCAGTGATTTCTTCTTGCAAATATACCTTAAAGAATCACCTTATGCATTTATTTTTCCATATTTGTGAATAAGCATCTGCTGGATAAATTCCTAGAAGCAGGATCGCGGGGTAAGGTATATGTTTTGTTAGATGTTGCTAACTTCCCTTCTATAGGAGCTATACTGGTTTGCATTCCTAACATTGATTTTGCCACATGTTGGACCTTGGTCTTCCATTTCCAGTTCACCCTCTCGGAATTGTTCCAGAGATTTGTGTATGAAACTTGGAAAACTAGACAGAGAGAAGTGCTGAGGCTGAAGACCTCAGCCAGAAAGGAACTAGAGTAATGGGAAGGGGGCGTGGGGTATCCCCTGACACCTCTGATCTCACCCCTTTTCTCTCTTTTGGCTTCTCCACTATCTCTCCACACACAGATTGTTTCCCAGCCTCTTCTCTGACCTGCATCCCTTGGCTCTGGTTCTAACTAGCTCCTGCCTGGTTTTCCTTCTCAACCCAAGCTCATGTGGGCTGAACCCAGAAGACTGGCTTAAGGTGGAAGCAGAAGTAGAAAGCCCCCGTCATTTCTGTCTTAACACACACAGAGGAAATAAGTCAGGGGAACAAGAATGGTTCATACAAAGGAAAGAGGAAAAAGGAGACAAAGAGGGATGCAGGGAGAGGAGGTCAAGAACAAAACACTCCACATAGGCCTTCTGGATTCCAGCCCTACTTCTATGACCTACAGAAAAGGGGAAATGAGCAGAGAAAGGCTGTCATCCAGTTTGACTGGCCTAGAGGCCTTGTCTTTGTCGTTCCTCTTTCCTTCTCCCTCTTACCTACCAAATACCAACTGGAGACGAGAGGGGCTTGTCTGAGGAGCAGAGAACTAGGCTGGGTAGGGGAATCCGGTCTTAGGGGCAACCTGGGGAGCAAAGAATTCAGATTACCTGAAGAATCACCTCCAGGAACAGACAGTTAGGTTTAGGTGGGGCATGCCCCTACAAGGTCAAAGTGTGCACTTGGGGCAATTTAAACTAAGCCGGAACAGTTTCTCAGGGTCTTGAGAATCAACATCTCCCTTCTCTCCTGTCAAAGCTTGGTAAATCTGGAATGTAATACGATAGAAGGGTAAGGCTGACCCTTGTCTTTGGGTGTTGAATGTGAGGCCAGGAGCATTGAAGAAAAAGAAAAGGACCCATACAGATTACTAAGAGAAGCCAAATTCTTGAACAAGGTGGTTTGCAGAGGAAGGCTGGATTGTTGACAGGTGGCAGCCATGTTCTGCAGGCTGAGCAGCCCCCCCCACCCCTTCTTCTCAGGACCTTCCAGTCAGCAGGAGTAAGGAAGGGTAGGACTCCCTGTATCCCAGCCCAGGTACCTCCTCCCATACACCACTTCACTTCTTCCAGCACCCACAACTTGATCAAGTTCTAAATGCTTTACTTCTGACTCCTAATTAGGTGCTCTCAGTTTCTTCCAACGAAGCCCCTATATAGCAATTTGACAAACCTGACTCAGCCACCCCCTCCGACTTAGTGGGGAGCAGGCTTCCCATAGCAGAGGGGAAACCAACAGCCAGAGGGCAAGTTAGGAACCCTCAGGGTTAAGGCTGATTCCCATGCTCCCTCAAACTGTCCTTCCTTCCAGATAGCGCTGACCAAGTTCTCTAGTCTCAGGCACTGTGCTAGGCCCTGGGGGTGCACAGGCGATGTGACAAGCTGTGCTACTTCAACTTGACCTTGAATGCGGAGACGCAAAGTGGCAAACGGAAGGGAAGGGGCCCAGAAGAGCAGGTACGGCCAGGGAGGCAGGAAGCCACACTCCCAGCTCTAAGCGAGTTCTCCACCAGGTTTTCAGATTGAGGCAGAGCCCAGGAGGGTGGAGCCGAGCAGCGGGAGAGGCTTTCGGGGCGGGGCCGCAGAAGGCTCCAAGAGCCGAGAAGGGGGCCCCGGGTGGGCGGCAGTCGTCCAGCCCAGGAGCCCCCTCAGGGACGGCAGGGGCTGCGGGCTGCAGGTTGCCCCTCTGTTTGCACCCTGACTCAAGGCCACAGGAGCAGGCGTTCCATGATGCGCGCTGAACGGGAACCTGCTCCTCGTGGAGAAGCCCTCGCCAAGCCTACCACCATCTACCCCTAGTCAGAGTACAGAAAGTGGGAAGGCAGGCTGCAGGAATGGTGGCATTATGGGCCCCCAAGATAGGTGGCAGCGGGCAAGGGGAAGCGCAACATTTAGGGGTTAGACTTCAGCAAGATGGTGGCAGGGAGGATGAGGCTTCCGAGGAAGAGCAAAGAAATGGATTCCCCTCCCCCTTACAGAACAAGGGCATTGATTCTGCCTTGGGGCCCCTGCCCCAGAGGAAGGCCTCATTCCCTTCTCTGATGGAATATAAGTGGGGAAGTGCTGTCTTGCCTTGAGGTGCAGTCAGATCATTCAAAACACTTCAAAATGAAAATTGGTTCCTGTTGCTTCCCTGGCCCCCTCTCCTCCAAGTCTTTTGCCACTTTCTTAGCTGTACGGAGCCTTACCTTGTTTCAACCAAACTAGCTGGGGCAGAAGGCAGGTGTTTCCTCTGCACTCCCCAGCCCAACTCCCACAGATCTGTCTGCTTCAGGTCTGAGGCCCACTTCCCAGAGCACCCTTTACCAAGCTGCCACCATCCCTCTCACCCCCAGAGCCTGTTCCCCAAGCCACCACCCTCAGCTCCTAGTGCCCAGCCCAAGTCACAGCCTCTCAGCCCTCCTCCTCCAAAACCTTCCGCACCCAGGCCCTCCTCACCCCCAGTCCCTCCATCTAGGCCAGGCCCAGCCAGGAATGATCCCTTCCTTCCAGGTAGAGGGCCCAGGGCAGAGGGGGGCTGCACTAGAGCCTCCAAATGATAAGAGGTAGGAGGGCTGCTCTGGGGAGAAGCTCAAGGAAGGAGGGGGAGGATCTCAAGACTCGCTGCCAAATACCCCACCCAAAGGAGGTAACCTGGTAGAATGGGATTTTGCTTCTTCTCCCTTCCGACCTTCCTTTGCCTTCCCAGCAGGGGCCTCAGTAGAGTACTCGCCTGTTTCTTCATTTGACATTCCCCCTACCCAGCCAGCAGGCGCCGGCCTCAAGTCTGAGAGTTATTGTAAGCCGGGCAGGAATGCCCCAGAGGGAGGTATCTCTGACCCGCAGAGTGCCCACTCCTCACCCATGAAGCAGGAGGCCACTCCTGCACCCTCCATACCCAGAAGGAGAAGAGTGACCATACCCTGGGGGAGGTGGGGGAGTGTGTGAAGCTAGACGCCTCAGGGAATGATGCGAGCCAAGTATGTGAGTGTGTGTGGGGTGTGTGTGTGAAGGAAGAGCAGGAAGGATAATCCCAATGCCTTAATTTCCAGCTCTTCAGCAAGCCGGTGCTGCAACCCTAGATGTTCAGGAACCCTCCCAAGCACGCCCGTGGTCCCTACCATCTGCTTCACACACCCTAGCCTCACAATCCTCAAGCTGGAAACTGAAAACTTTTCAACTTCACCCTCTTTTCCTTCTTCCCCTCTGGGACCAGAGATGTATGGGGCGGTGCCCTCAGAGACACTCATACAGTTGGTTCTGGACGCTCATACTCACTCAAACAACAGCAATAGGAGGGAACTCCCAGCTTTTTCCATAGCTAATTATAGACGTGAAAGTCGGAGGATGTTTTGCAAGCAGCAGAGAGAAACTGCTGAGGTTCCTCTGCAAATCCAAAGAAATTTAATTTGTATATTCTCCTTCCCCACCCCCCCCAACTTCTCCTAGCTTACCCCACATCCTCCCCTAGTGTGCCCCCCTCCCAGTCCCTGAGGCAGCCCCTCCTCCCTGCTAAAGACTTCTTACTTGGTTTTTTTTTTTTTTTTTCCATCTCTCTTTTGGGCTTTCGAGAAAGGGAACAGACGCGGAAAATATTTTTGCAACAGTTTTCCATTCTGCGTCTCATTCCCAAGCCAAGGGGGAGGGGGAGGACAGGAACGAATTCGGGAGAGGAAATAAATGTTTTTTTCCAAGATCTCAATTTTAGTGTGAGAAAGACAGTCCCTCCATTTCCCTACCCCACAGCCCAGGAATGACAAAAACTAGACGAAGAAAAAGAAATCACTTGTGGGATTACATGATTTCTAAGGACTGAGAATAAGAAAGAAATGCAGTATTTGATAAATCTGTGCACACACACACACACATTAAAAAAAAATCATCCAAACCCAGTTGCGTGAAATATGCTAGGAAGAGGAAATTCAGGGAGTTTTAGAAGCAGTAGAGAGAAAAGAAAGAAACAAAGTTTGCAAATCACGAGTCAATTCATTCTTAGCAAGCCTACCTCTCTTTCTAGCAAAGATCCAGGTTTCTCCAAGCGGGACTCTCCCTCCAGGTTTCCATGGATGGGGATAGGGTGGGTGACCACCCACCGGTCTCCCCAGTGTGGCAAACAAGCTAGAGATGCTGGCTTTGCTCTCCTGCCTTTCCAGCTACGGCCGGGGAGTGGGCTGGGTCTCTTCCCCCCCGCGTCCTTCCAATAGGAAGGACCTCTCAGGTTCCAGAAGAAAAAGGGTGCAGGGGAGCTGGGCGGGAGTCTCTGATCTTGCTCTCTTCGGAGGGATGGTTCCCCAGGAAGTTCGTGCCTCCCCCCGCCACCCAAACCCCAGCTTTGAACAGTCTCAACAGCAGAGCTTTCTTGAGAAAATGCTTGTCATGGCAACAGCTCCAGCCAACTCGGGCCAGACTCTTGCTCACCAGCTTTCCCCGACCAGTGCGGGAGGAGAAGGGGGAGGAGCAGGAGCTGGAACAGAGGTGGGACTTGGCGCGACGCCAGACCATTACTCTACTGTTAAGGTGGCCTGGCTCAGAGCTATGGCTGCTTCCTGGTTTGACTTAAGGAGGAATGGGGAAAGGACAGGGAGGAATCCTCTCTCCCCTCGGCTTTCTTCCTGGCTTTCCTCCCCGCCTTGCATTCACTTGTCGAAAAGAAATCTGAAGGCGGGAGGAGATGGAGGTGGGGAGTGGATGTGGGTGGTGGTGTTCAACCGTCGCTGGGTGGAGGGGGGAAAAAAGGAAGCTTCTGCAGGCCGTTGGCTTCCTGCATCTCCTAACAGGCCTCTCAACCTCTTGCTCACTTACACTCAGGACCCAGCAACCCAAGTAAGTGTCTGTGGACATTTGTATTATCCCCTCCCACCTTCCTACTCCTATCTGAATAGGGGGCTGGAAAGGGGGACTGTATGACTGTAGACACACACACACACACACACACACACACACATTCTTCCTCACCCACATTTCACAGGTCACATGTTGCTCCTCTTGCCCTTGTATCCACCAGAGGTACATTCACATGCAAGAGAATAGCTGCCTACTTTTGAGTCCTACTATGTGTGA